TTATAAAATAATAAAATAAAAAGACATGAATGAACATGCATAGGCAAAAACAATTGATTTCTTTAAAATCACCAATACATTTCAGGATTTTAGGATTTTTTTTTTTTACCAAACTTTGTATAAAGATAATTCTCAACTATGTTATAACAGAATGATTTGATATACCATTTTTCTTTCTGCAAAATGTGTGTAAAATGGCCATAAACGGATTTTCTCATTATATACAATGTATCTATAAACTAAATCTAATTTGCATATTAATGTGTTTTTGGGGCAACATGTAATGAAAAAATAAGTGTAATAATGGGAGTAATAATTGACAAGATTTGCATAATAATATATATAATATTTCATAGGAATATTGAAATATAATTTCTTTTCCTGTTCATTTGTTGTGTCTCCCAAAATGCGTAATAAACATGCTTTTAGTCCCGGTGTCTTCATATGACCTGTTTCTTAACAGAAAGTCATATTTTGATTTGAAACCCCATAACATTTTCCTGAGATGTTGATTTATGACACACAGTTTAAAAATTAGTCAGATTTAAATGATAATTACAAAATATTATCATAAAATCCATAAGAGTGTCACTAAATTAATATCTGACATGTTTGAAGACCAAGGAGAGGGAGTGATCTTGGTGGGAACATCCAAACATTTAGTATCTCTGAAAAGCCCTGAATGTGCTCTGTACAGGACATCCAGATGTAAAACTGTGGCAAGTAAAGTCTCGGAGAAATACACTAAAATATAATGTCCTCATATGAGGTCGCAGGGTCTCAGGAGGTTAAATAAATACATTTTACTTAATTTAATTCATGGACATTTCTAAAAGCTTTCTCCTGGGAAAATATATAATATAGCAATTTATATAATTGCTATATTTAAAAAAAAAAATTTGTTAGAAAAATAAATAAATATTAAAAAATATTTAATTGTTACATTTGTTAAATTAAATATACATTTTTTTGAGAAATTTAAATTTCTACTACAAAAAGTATTTACCTCTGATACGGTGTTAAAATAAATAAAGAAATAATGTTTATTTAATAAACTGATTCTTTAGAAAAATGTAATTATATATAATTATATACAGTATATAAAAATAAATATACTTTTTTTCCCAGGCCTTTGTTTGTTCATCTAGGCCAGTTATTCCACTTCTTCATTTTTGTGTTTCTGGAATTTCCAACAATGCATTGATTGTGTCTGATTACGGTTTTCTTTTGTTGTCTCTCTCTTTTCAGTATCACAGAGAACATGTCAGGAAACAGTCTGGTATTACCCATAGTTCTGTGGGGCCGCAATGCGCCCACTCACTGCATCTCCAGCCTGCTGGTGATGGACGATCTGGCCACCATCATCACCGGCTGCCATGATGGACAGATCTGCATCTGGGACATGACCCCAGAGCTGGAGGTGAGAGGTCACGGCGAGGTCACACATAGCTTGTTTTTCTTTAAAGGCACAGTGCACCCCAAAAATTTACATTTTGTCATCATTTACTCCCATATGACTGACTATCTTCCATGGGCTGGACTGTTATGAAGGATAATAATCGCTCCGGATTGTTTGATGAGTTTCTGTGTGTCTCTGTGTGTTTAGATCAATCCTCGCGCTCTGCTGTTCGGACACACGGCTTCTGTCACCTGTCTGTCCAAGGCCAGCGCAGGAAGTGACAAACAATACTCTTTAAAGGCACAGTGCACCCCAAAAATTTACATTTTGTCATCATTTACTCCCATATGACTGACTATCTTCCATGGGCTGGACTGTTATGAAGGATAATAATCGCTCCGGATTGTTTGATGAGTTTCTGTGTGTTTAGATCAATCCTCGCGCTCTGCTGTTCGGACACACGGCTTCTGTCACCTGTCTGTCCAAGGCCAGCGCAGGAAGTGACAAACAATATCTCGTCAGCGCCTCCGAAAGCGGGTGAGAGAGAGTTTATCATGGGCTCTTTAGGCTGTGCTGATCTTTAAGATAACAGTGTGTTCAGACAGTGAAATGTGTGTTTATTATTATATTAAATGTTAGCAGTTTCACCTGAGACGTCTTTTGTGTTTGTCACAGGGAAATGTGTTTATGGGACGTCAATGATGGACGCTGTATTGAGTTCACCAAACTGGCCTGTGCACACACCGGAATACAGGTAACACACACACACACACACACACACACACACACACACACAAACACACACATGCACTTATTGAAATAAGGACATACTTTATGCAGTTTAATTGCAGATTTACAAGACCGAAAACATTCCAACATCATAAGACCAGCAAACAAAAGGCCAAGGACCATGTATTTAAAAAAAATTGTATATACAATGTATAATTTATATATATAAAATATTTATATATTATTTATATGTAAACCACACATCTAAAATAAATGTTTTTACAATTTTAGAATTAAGAAAAATAAAACATAATTTATTTATGAATCAACACTCTCTCTGAACAAGACTGCATTAGAGATTATATGTTTATTATTATGATTATAAATACTGAAGACTAACGCAAACCATGTCTTTTTTAAAAGAAATGTTCTTGCATGTTTAGATTTAAGAAAAATAAACATTGAATTTATTTATAAATCATTTTTCATAAAACTCTGTCTCTCTTGTACAGTTTTATCAGTTCACCATCGGCACACAGAGGGAGGGCCGTCTTCTGTGTCATGGGCATTACCCAGAAATCCTTGTAGTGGACGCTACCAGTCTGGAGGTCCTTTACTCGCTCGTGTCCAAGATTTCGCCTGACTGGATCAGTTCCATGAGCATCATTCGCTCGCATCGCACGCAAGGTAACCGCTGCTGTTTTGGCATGTGAGAATGTGATGCATTTCAGAATTATAGGAGCTAATGTCTATTTATGACATCTGAGACGTACTGTCGATAACCACTAACAATCATTTAATCTCATTTTACAACAAGAAAGGGGAATGTGCACAGATAATGTACTCAGTGACGTTCTAAATGTTTAAAAGTGTGCAATGATTTTTTTTGGCAGTTTGAAATTTTATGATATTTAAGACCAAAACTGTATTTGCATTATTATTTTAAGCTACTAGCAAATGGCCATACAATTTAAATCTAGCAACTAAATTCCTTAAATTACAAATTTAAAAAATGCCCTATTTACAATTTTTTTACTTTATTAAGAAATACATAGATTTTTTTTATTACATATTGTATATATATATATTTTTTAAATAATAGAGCAAATCCAAAAAAATCTTTTCACACTTGAAAGCTACTAGCAAAAATTAAAATCTACCAACTAAATTAATTAAATTACAAATGTAAAAATTTAGATTATGATTTTTAAATTTAAAAAGGACTTATTTGGAATGCATGTATATGTAAATAAATAAAGAGAATGTGTTTTTTTTCATTCATTTATTCAAAAATTCATTGCAAACTAGCAAGCTACTATCTAATGGACAAAAACTGTAAATCTTCCAACAAAATTACTTAAATTACACATTTAAAATATATGATTTTTAAATTTACAAATGACTTATTCAAAATGTTTTTATATGTAAATATAGATAGAAAGATATAGATTGGTTTTATTTATTTTATATTCATTCATTAAAAATTTTTTAGCATGCTGAAAAGCTGCTAGTTAATGGCCACAAAATTAAAATCTACCAACAAAATTACTTAAATTACCATGCAAGTATCATAGTTTTGGAGTCCATAGAGATTAAGTTGAGAATAAACAGCAATAATCCTTTAACTACAGCCCATAATGACTCGCAATCTGGAGGTTTCTCACCATTTAAAGTGTGTGTGTTTCAGAGGACACAGTGGTGGCTGTGTCTGTCACTGGGATTCTTAAGGTGTGGATCATCACCGCTGACGTCAGCAGGATGCAGGTGAACAGTTCAACTCAACCGTACATGTCAATAAACACATGTTCTGGACAGAAACCCCATGTAGATGGACAGAATGTGTGCGTCATAGAGTGTGTCCTGCTGGAAAATGAAAGTTAGTGTGTGTCCCGCAGGATCTGGACCCTGTTTTTGAGGAAGAGTCGAAGCCCATCTACTGTCAGGGCTGCCAGAGCATCTCGTTCTGCACGTTCACACAGCTCTCGCTGCTGGTGGTGTGTTCGAAGTACTGGAGGGTGAGTGTGTGCGATTATGAGTTTGTGATGTTGTGCTTCACATTATGGTTTGAGTTATACTGATCTGTGCTGCAGGTGTTGGATGCAGGGGATTTCTCCCTGCTGTGTTCGGTCCCGAGCGAGAACAATCAGTCGTGGGTCGGAGGAGAATTCATCGCTGCTGATAAAGTCATAATCTGGACCGAAGATGGTTGCAGCTACATTTACAAACTACCGGCCAGGTAATGCAACAACACATGCTACAGTACTAAAGCTGCACGATTAATCGAAATAAACCTAAAATCCTGATATGGCTTAGTGCAATGTGAGTGTTTCTTAGTGAATCACAGCACTGTGTTTGTTTGCATGCATGCATGCAGCTCATGATCCAGTTTTTTTCAGTGTCACTCATTTCACAGTAAATGCTGCTCCGCACAAAACTGAGTTTGGGTCGCTTATAACGTGCATTTACAAAATGCAACGTGTACAGAATGCAACATGGCTAACCATCTTCCCAAACTTTTTTAAAAGCACTTACAATTTTAAAATACATTTTAAATAACATTTATCATCAGAAAAATTTGCAATTAAATTTTTTTTACTTAGATTGTGCAGCACACACAAACAAACACACTACCAAACTATCAAGAAATATCCACATACCTAATATATACCTAATAACAGCAGACTAATAATAAAGAGCCTGTGATTTTTATTAATGTATTATTTATTTTTTTATTTAAATTTCTTTTAAATGTAACAATATATAAAGATAATGTGCTCTTACTGTATATGACTTTTAGATATAAATTTAACTTAGTAAAGAGAATGTGTTTTTTATTCATTTATTTTAAATGCAAATTAGGGCTGTGCAATTAATCGAAAAACAGTTAATCGATTTCTGCCTCCAATGGTTATGAAAATACGATAATCAAGATAAAACAATTATTGCACCACATTACGCCCCCCTTTCCAGCGGTGCGCTTTCGTTCCTCCATAAAAGCCCAATTTCACGTGCTAATCAGTAAAATCTTGTAACGTGACTTTTGCAAAATGGGGACGTGCTTGATTTATGGAAGTATATCAGATTTATTAATGTTTTTAAAAGCGTGAAAGAGAAATTCCGCTGTTCCTCAGGAAGATTTCTGTGTATGCGCTCAGAATCTGAACAGAACACGGACATGTGAAGTCAACTTTTAGCTCAAGGTGCGCGCCTAAATGGTCAAATACACGCAAAAATGCGGCACTTAGTGATTATTCATGTAAACCCTCTTCAGTCATGTAATAAATGAACGTAAAGTGTTGAGAATGAAAATACACGTGTAAGGGTAAATTGGATCCGTGCAGCTCTTAAAGTGACAGCAGCCTAATATTCCTGCTGCCGACTGTGTGCTTAATATTAATCAAACAACAAAAGACAAAGAGAAAATCACCCACTGCTCTTGACTGAAGGACTTTTGAAGCTTTAATAAGAAACAAAGAAAGTTTAATTCTTACAGTGAAGACTGCTGTTTTATCTTACATTTGATTATTCATTTGTGTAGTAGGTTGTTAACTGCGAGAGAGTTGCATAAAAAAACCTTAAAGCACAGTTTGTTTAATTTGTTTGGACGTAACGATTAACCGCGAGCCGGTTGAAAATCGATTCAAATATGTGACGATTCAAATCGGTTGAGATGCTAAACAAATAGCGATTCAGTTAGGGGTAGGAGTTTATATGAATGTATGTCTGAGGGGAACTTACTGTCTTTAGAAAAGTTTAGATGGTATTTTTTCTTTTCATCTTGCCTCTGTATAAAGCATATTAGAGTTCATAAGTGCAGCGCTGCTTTGTTTACAGCGGAAACCAGGGAAATGCTTTAAGCGCCACCTGCTGGCGGAGAGTGAATCTGCGTCTCGTTCAGCTCGTCTGCTGTTTCTGTTTCGTGCAGATATTTTTTATGTATAGTTTCACAAAACTGAAGTCAAACCATTCTGTTTTTGCTTCAAATATTGAAATTATACAATCTACTTTAGAGTAAAAACTGTTCATGTTGCATGTAAGCAGTATCTTTGTTTGGATCATGATTAAAATGCAGTGGTTGCCTCTAATTTTAAATGGAAAGAGCACAGACAAAGCCTTAGTTTGTTTATATGAAGACTTTTATTTGTGTTAATTATTTATTTGATTTGGGGTTTGTTTTAAAATTTCAATTTAGTTTTGTTATTTAGCAGATGCTTTTATCCAAAGCAACTTACAAATGAGGACAATAGAAGCAATCAAAACCAACAAAAGAGCATTAATATGCAAGTGCTATATTATTATAGTGTTATATTTCAATTTCACAAAGAAACGTGCAGCATTTTGCCCAAGCAATAATAAAAGGACACATTTAGTTTATAATTTGTCTTGAATCTCATTTTGCAAAAAAAAATCGTGAATCGAACCGAATCGTGAGTTGAGTGAATCGTTACATCCCTATTCATTTGTATCTTTTTATAAACTGTTCATGTTGCATGTAAGCAGTGTCTTTGTTTGGATCATGATTAAAATGCAGTGGTTGCCTCTAATTTTAAATGGAAAGAGCACAGACAAAGCCTTAGTTTGTTTATATGAAGACTTTTATTTGTGTTAATTATTTATTTGATTTGGGGTTTGTTTTAAAATTTCAATTTAGTTTTGTTATTTAGCAGATGCTTTTATCCAAAGCAACTTACAAATGAGGACAATAGAAGCAATCAAAACCAACAAAAGAGCATTAATATGCAAGTGCTATATTATTATAGTGTTATATTTCAATTTCACAAAGAAACGTGCAGCATTTTGCCCAAGCAATAATAAAAGGACACATTTAGTTTATAATTTGTCTTAAATCTCATTTTGCAAAAAAAAATCGTGAACCGAATCGTGAGTTGAGTGAATCGTTACATCCCTATTCATTTGTATCTTTTTATTCTATTGTATTTGTCCTTTGCTTTTTTTTTCTTTTTTTTTTATTACTGACAGTTTAATTATTTTCAATAATAAAACTTTTTGTTTGTTTGTTACTAATAGTTACCTAATACTCTGCTGTGGTATTGAGAATTATGAAATTTCTCTGGTCTCTACAATGTAGATGTCATAGCAACCTTATTTACAGGAAATATATATTAGATGACTATCACTATCTTTAAATAAATCACTCATATAAAGTTTTGGTCATATGGCCCACTCATAATCGTGTTAAATAATCACAATTACAACACTGAAATTTGATATAAATTAAAAATATGGATTTAGAAAATGTACATTATTTTTTTTCCTTGATCTAGTTAATACATTTTTTATATACATTTAACTATTAAAAAAAGTGAATAAAATTTCACACACCAACAAAGCACCTACACATTACCAACCGCTTACAAGTTGCCAACAAATGATAACAAACTCACAGAAAAACACTTATGCAGCTAATGACCACACACACATTAAAAACTGTCAGGTCAGGTCTACAGCTACAAACTGTTAAACTACTCCTGCTAATCAGTCTGTGTGTGTTTCAGCTGTCTCCCAGCGAGCGAACACTTCCGCAGCAATGTGGGGAAGAAGACGGAGGGTTCGATCCCTCCTCTGGTGTACAGCATAGCGGACCGCGCCGACAAACAGGTCAGAGACATGCACACATGAGGAAACAACTATACACTCACTTGTACTTTACAAACATGTCTGTTTATTCTTGGCCTTCAGATTCAGTCAAGTTTAGAAAGTGGACATTTCAGGTGTCTTGAGAGGATCAAAAGTACAAGTTATTACGTTGTAATGAAAGTTTACGAAGACAAATCTTTTCATTTAATAACATCACTGATGAATCAGGAACATGATTTAAAAACGTCAGTTTTGATTTCATGTGACTTTAAAGATTAGTTGATCTCAGCCAATCATAGAGCATTAAATGTCCTGTGTGTTTAAGTTCAGTTTCTTTATAAAAACACTGCTGTTCAAAAGTTTGCGGTTGGTGAGATTTTTAATGTTTTTGAAAGAAGTCTCTTCTGCTCACCAAGGCTGCATTTATTTGATAAAAAATACAGTAAAAACTGTAAAATGGTGAAATATTATTAAAATTTAAAATAACTGTTTTCTATGTGAATATATAGTAAATTGTAATTTATTCCGTTGATCAAAGCTGTATTTTCTAGGGATGCATCAAATCTTTGTCCGCCGAAAATGGCATTTTCGATTTTCGGCCGAAAGAGAAAAATGGCCGAAAATACGAGCCAAAAATATAGGCTACATATAATAATATATGTGTAGCTCAAATAATGTGCTGACAGGAAATTTCTATGCAGTATACTTGTTCCTGTTTGCAGTAGCGATACTGTGCTGTAACATGCTGTAGTACAGCTGTACTGGACAACGCTGGTGAAATGATGCTACCTTCAGTGATGTTATGCTCTGCTCACATGCTCTGATAGTAAGTGACCCTGGAGCACAAAAGCAGTGTTAAGTCGCTGGGGTATATTTGTAGCAATAGCCAAAAATACATTGTATGGGTCAAAATTATCAATTTTTCTTTTATGCCAAAAATCATTAGGATATGAAGTAAAGATCATGTTCCATGAAGATATTTAGTAAATTTCCTACCGTAAATATATCAAAACTTAATTTTTGATTAGTAATATGCATTGCTAAGGACTTAATTTGGACAACTTTAAAGGCGATTTTCTCAATATTTAGATTTTTTTTGCACCCTCAGATTCCAGATTTTCAAATAGTTGTATCTCGACCAAATATTGTCAGATCCTAACAAACCATACACCAATGGCTCAAGCTTATTTATTCAGCTTTCAGATGATGTATAAATCTCAATTTCACAAAATTGACACTTAAGACTGGTTTTGTGGTCCAGGGTCACATAATAGCTTTGTAGGACTATACATTATTTGGATAATTAGTCCAAAAAACAACAACTTATATCTGATTCTGTTACATAGAACTGAATAAAAATAATATATTGATATTTAATATTAAGGTAACACTTTACAATAAGGTTCCGTTAGTTAATGTATTAACTAACATGAACGAACAATGAACAGTACATTTGTTACAGTATTTATTAATCTTTCTTAATGTTAGTTAATGAGAATATAGTTGTTCACTGTTAGTTCATGTTAATTCAGAGTGCATTAACTGTTAACATGCAGAACTGTTGATTTTAATAATGCATTAGTAAATGTTGAAATTAACATTTAACTAAGATTAATAAATGCTGAAGAACTATTGTTCATTCTTAGTTCATGTTAACTAAAGTAGTTAACTAATGTTAACTAATGAACCTTATTGTAAAGTGTTACCAATAGTTATATAAATTCTGTCCAGTTTTATTGTGTTACTTTCAGTAAAAGTGTGGTTATTTTATTGGCTTGTGTTTTTTAAATTCAGTATTATTAAAATTGAGTTAAATTTAAAAAGTCTTACAAAATTACTTAATATTATTTAATGAAATAATAAATAATCATTACAAAGAATTTTCTTTGCTGATTTGCTAATATGCTGATTTGCTGCTCAAGTTAAAGTTTCTACATTATATTTAGTAGTAGCTTATCAGTGGTGACTCCTGTATGTCAGAAATGTACAGTAAAATTAATGCAGTTAATGACATGTAATCAAACAGACGGTGAACACTGTTAACTGCAATGATCATTATATGTTGCGAAATTTGGTCGTTTTGTATGTTAAATTAAATTCAATTAAATGTTAAATGAAACCCTCAAACTTTTGAACGGTGGTTTATGTTTTTAGTTTGTGTTTTGTCTAGGGCTGGGCGATATATAAAAAAAAAAATATTACGATATTCGATATATATCTCGATATGTTTGCATTTGTTTTAAATAATAAAAAAAAACATGATTTTCTTTTGCCCCCATTAAAAAAACCCAAACAATTTAGATGGAACAGATATTGTTACAAAGTAAATACAAAATGTTTAGTGCAAATTTGCCAAATGAGCCAAGTGATCACTTACTGCTTTTTATTAAATGAACACATGTATATGTAACTGAAGTAATGCAAAACAAGTACAGAAAGTGCATTCTGTCAACTTTCTTAGTGCATGCAATTCACAATTTACACTGCAATTGGGGGAAATAATTAAACTGGGAATTTTTTTTTTTTTTTTTTTACAAGTTTTTAGCTAAGAACACAAGTCTGTCAACTGTGTCTGGTTTAAGAGAAGCTCTGTGGCATGAAACTATGTTCCCTCTGGCATTAAAAACCCTCTCAGATGGGAAGCTAGTTGCTGGAACACATAGGTATATATAGGCTATATATATAAGTTAATACCAAAGACTTATGCACTCTCTCTGTTTATATTATGAAAACTGGTAAAACAAATGAAAGATATTATAACAGTGAAATTCTTAGTAGTAATTTCAAACTGCCATAGCCTATGTTTCTCTATTCAAACAACAGCGGTTGAGTAAGTGCATTTATTCAGCGATCACAATCAATACAGTCGAGATCTCATGACAGAACACAGACTGGTTGAGTGACACTTTCATTTAGATAAACGCTGAACTCCAGCTTGTTTGTTGGAGTTTTCAGGTCATCGTCGGCGGCGCTTCTGCAATGAGGAGCGAGCGTTTGCGCATGGTTGCCAGATTGCTTAAAATAAGCAAAACACCGGGCAGAAAATGTATCCTTGTAAAAGCAAAGCTCTGATTCTGGGATTTGAACTCTTGATATCTGGCAACCGCACTCATGAAAGCTCGTGTAGAGCAGTCCGCAATAACCGTCTCCTTTTTTGGACGTTCGTCGCGTTCTTTTAGGAAAGAATGCTTGAATTTGAAATATTCGATATTCACGATATTTTCACATTTGACATCGTCGTCAAAATTGTTGCGATATTATCGCTAATATTCGATATATCGCCCAGCCCTAGTTCTGTCTGTGTTTTGTTCTCGTCAGTCTGCTCCTGTGTATGTTTGTGTGTTATCTGTGCCGTGTTTGATTTCTGTATGATTTGCTCTCTGTCTGTTGTTGCCCCGGCCCAGCTGGAGGAGGGGTGGGAGGGGCAGTGTGTTGTGGTGCGTCTTCCTGACAGCGCTTGTGATCCGGAGCTCTACACTCCTGAAATGCAATACATCCAGCGGCCTCTAGAGGCACCAGTAAGCCCAACTGACAGCGAGACGCAGGGGCGAGGAAGCTCTCCACGCTTAATAATATCACACAATATGCAAGATTTCATTTTGGCATTATCTGTTTTATTTTGACATTTGTAAAAATGTTATGTAATTGCACGTATTTTGCATGTGTGAATATGATTGGATGTCTTGAGAGCTTCCTGTGCAGTTCCTGCCTCTCTTTTGCTGTCTGTCTAATAGTCACTCACTCTGATTCGCTAAGTCTCATGCTCCTCCCACTAAAAACGACCAATCATTGACCTTCCTCATTGGTCTTCACTCAGTGAAGATGCATGCAAAGTCCCAGAGCTTCTTTACAGTCGCTTGTTTTATTCTGATGCATTCAGTTCACTTGATGGAAGCCCGTTTCCATCACTGAATAAAAAATAAAAAAGGGTAATTATGACTTTTCTCACAATTGTGAGTTTACATTTCACAATTCGGGATTTTTTTCTCAGAACAGCATGAAATAAAATAACAATTCTGTCTTTTTTCTCGCAATTCTGACTTTTCTTGCAGTTGTGAGGTTATATTTTGTAATTCTGACTCCTTTTTTCAGAATTGTGAGATATAAATTCGCAATTGCAAAAAATAAAGTAAGAATTTTAAGAAATAAACTCTCAATTAAGACCTTTATTTCTCGCAATTGCGAGTTCTTATCTTGCAGTTCTACATTTTTTTTCTCACAATTCTGACCTTTTTGTAAAGAATTGCGAGTTTACATCTCAATTCTGACTTTATAACTCGCAATTGCTTGTTAGAAAGTAAGAATTGCGAGATATAAACTCGCAGTTGTGAGAAAAAAGGTCAGAATTGCGAGCCTGACTTTTTAATCTCACAATTCTGAGAAAATTGCGAAAATTTATCGCAATTGCGAGCAAAGAAGCAGTTCATATCATGCAATTCTGACTCTTTCTCAGAATTTTAACTCAGAATTTCTGAGATAAAAGTCAGAACTGTGAGATGGAAACTCCCAATTGTGAGGAAAAAGTCACA